AAATCCTGGTTATGCATGACAATTTTGCATGCTCAGTTTGACCCCTGAATCATACTACAAGCAACAACAATTAACCCGAACAAAGCAAAGCACAAAGGAAAGTCCTGTGTATCTCCCCGTTTTTTCCGAGTTCTGATTCCAAGGCTACAGCTATTATTCTGAAGCTACATAAAGGCATGCTTCATTTATTGGAATCTTGAATGGCCTCGGAAATAATTAAGTCTTGCTGGAAGAAAACTGGGCTGCTCTCAGTCTGCTCCATCTGAAGCCACTTGCAGAGAAGGAGACTAGGAGCTCGTGACAGCAGTAAGTCTTTATGCACAAGGCAGCACCCTAGCTAAGAAGAGTTCCTAAAGATCAACAGACTGACTCAAGAGGCATTTTCATCCTGCTGCCAAGTAATTTAATGCTTTCTCACCTCGAGCACTAGGCAACCTGTCCATAAGCAACCAGCACCAACGGACCAGGGACAGGCCAGCTCAACATTAACAACTCCCTCATCTCGTAGATGAGCAGGTGAATTTGGGGCAGAAAGACTGCTGGGACAGCGTGTGCTGCAGATCAGCAGCAGCAGCATAAGTTTAACTCTGGTGACACTGGCACCTCAGTGGTAAGCCCTCGGAGCTGCCTATCTGACATTGCTCCATCCACTCCAGTGGGAAATGACCCTCGGAATATGCTTGGATTTGTGCTTGCAGAGGAAGCCTCGCTTGGAGGAAAGGCAGCAGGGTGAAGAGCTCCAGAGATGCCCTGGAGAGTAATCATCATCTACGAAGCCTTGAGCAAGTCAATTGTCCGGACTCCCTTGGTCCCAGTTGTCTCTTCAACACCTCTGTTTTCTTCTATGTTGCACACGTGCTAGGAAAGTTACCTAATTAATGTCCATGCAGCGCTCCATCTGTATTAACTGTTGCATTTCATTCTTATTATGGCTTTTAATTAATCAACTGGATGTCAACCTCTATGTTACCTTACCAGCAGGAGTTTCAAGTAAACAGTAAGGCCCTCTGGACTTGGCAGATCTTTTGACTGATTTCGCAATCAATTCCAGTACTCTTGTCTATTTTTCTACTATTGGCTTAAGCCATTTTATCTCCAGGGCAATATATTTTAACAGCAGACACATACTACCTTTATTTTCAGCATGAAAGAAACCCTGGCTCAGTATAAATATTTATGTACTTACTGGAATGAAACGCCTGCAACTCCTTGCTTAGCGGGCCTTAACTTGTGCAGGTTACACTTTGCATAAGTAGGAATATGACCCTCTGAATTACTGCTAGAGCAAAAGCAAACAGAAGTACATATGATAGTGTTGAAAATAGCCCTGGGGTGCCAGCTTCATTATGGGAAATGTGTTTTCTGGGTTATCTGGGATTGACATGGAGGAATCAAAGTGCTTGCCAAAGCAACGTGTATTCGTAACACCCAAGGATATTTCCATGTCCCTAGAATGCCTAAATTTGGTCTTTTAAATAAAACAGGAACCAACATCCAGAACGTGCTGCTTCCTCTCTTCTTACTAGAAACATCCACCTCTAGAAACAGCTTTGAAATCGTCTTTACCTCCTAACAGCTTTTTGCAGCCCCACTCCAGCAAGGGTAAAAACAGCATGCTCTGCAAAAGACACAATATCATCATAAACCACCTCATTAAAAATAAAGGTTCTCCTTTTGAGGAGAACCTCCCGTTTTCCTACCACTCCTCCATAAGATAAGACACATGTGCAAATATTTATTAATTTTACCCATAACTAACCTGTCCATTATGTTGAAACCTCATGACTTAGCAACTCAAAGCATATACTTCCCAACCTCAGAAGTCTCCTTCAGTATCTCTACATCTGCTTCTTTTAAAAAGGGGACAGACCCAAATCTACGCAGGCAAAGCGCAGAGTTGGAGAGAGCGCCACACTCCTGACTTCAGTGAGTAAGGAAGCAGCACTGCACTTCAGAGACAACCCAAATAAGGGTGTCTACACATACACCTTTTCTCGCTGCCAAACAACAACTGAGCAAAGGCAAAGCGCATCTTCCTCAGGCAACGTGAAACGAAGCAAGCTTTACACAGACTACAGATTATCTCCTCCAAAATCACATAAAATAACAAAGAAAGTGCCTCCTGTAGGAGCTAGAGAGAGCAAGAACATTTCATTTTCACAGCGTAATTTGGAAAAAAATGACTCGACACAATCAGATAATGTTGATCACTTCTGCCTCTGTGTCTTTTGATGCTGGTGCCAGGGCATGCCCTTGAGTGGTAGGGGCAAAGGCAAACTTGGAGAATTCCCAGGGCTGCTCTGGCTCTGAAAAGGATTCTGCTCCCAGAAGAATCCAGGGAACTTCCCCGCATGCAAATCCCAGGTACACAGGGGAATCCTTCTGTGAAAGGGGCACCAGATATGAGGAAGAACTTCTTGGCTGTGAGGGTGACAGAGCACTGGAACAGGCAGCCCAGAGAGGTTGTGGAGTCTCCCTCTTCGGAGATATTCAAAACTCACTTGGATGCAACTCTGTAACGTGCTCTAGGTGACCCTGCTCGAGCAGAGGGGTCAGACTAGATGATCTCCAGAGGTCGCTTCAAACCTCATTGATTATGTGATTTTGTGATTCTGTGAAATCGAAGAGTGGAGGCTGACAGGGGGTTTGGAAACACAGATGTGTAAGGAGCAGGGAAGATGTTCCACAGGTGACAGAGCAGGAAAAAAGCCACAGAATAGCAAGATCTTCATTTCAGAAAACTATCTCTTTTTTCTGGACAAGTATATTTCTGCTTGGATGTTATAATCAGTCCCTCCATTTAATGAAACATATTGCCTGTTCAAAAAAGACACATGAGAACAGGATAAAAGATCGAGCCTGAAAACTGGGAAACACTGACTGTTGTTCCTTAATATATCTCCTTTGAATAGGACAAGATTTTTTATTACATCCTGTTCCTTCACCACAACTTTGCCTTCTTCAACACATGGTGAGCATTTGCTCTGGGACTGGGTCAGAGCCTGAGAAAAGAAGTTCTTGTCTGTTGGAATCCTGCTTTACCTTCTGCAAGGCTGAAAACTCCTGCGTCCAGAATTATGTTGAGATCCCCAAACTTGCTCACTGGGAATGGGCTTGGAGACAGCAAAAATCAAAGCTGCTTCAGCTCAGAGCTCTGTCCAGGCTCATTATGTCCTGCAGGAAGATCCTAGCCCTAGCAGCCAAGAGCTGCAGCTCTAATGAAAACCTTTCTCAGGTCAGGCTGAAGCATGCTCAGCACTTAGTGAATCTTCAAATATTAACCTGCAAAGCTCTGAAAACTCTATACAAAGCATGTACAAACTGCATTTTTGGCCTCTAACTTAGGCAAGATTTAGGTGGATATTTATGAAGATGGCAAAAAAACAAAGGCTGTTCCCCAAGGAGATTTAAGATCCCACTTCAGAAGTATAATGGTGTAAGAGCTTTTCAGTGAAACTGCTGCCAGATTTTTTTTTTAAATATATCAAAACAGTATTTACCTCTAACCCTACTCTTAGCAGCCGCTGAATCATGTTGGCTGCATTTTTCATTAGGAAATTAAATAGGCTGAGGCAGACACCTTTCAAAATGAGCAGATAAGATGTGACAACTCTTATAAGCAACTGAAAATGGATTCTTATAATGTGGGACATTTTCCAACCCTAGTCGTATACAATGAGACTGGTCCAAACCATAAAACACAAACATATTTATACTGCATCAATCAAATAAAGCAAAAAAAAAAAGTCTATTAACAGCTTCTCTTGTAAGCCTCTCTTCAGACAGCATCTATCAAAGACCAGAGATGACTGCCTGCTTACACTTCATTATTAGTTATTGTGGATAGTGCAGAATTAGATTTAAAATCACCGAAGTACAGACAGCTGTACAGAAATAGCCCTAGTCCTTACAGGCTATTCCTCTTTATTTGACAAGAAGATGGAAATGAACACATCACAATTGAGGTGGGGAATGGCCTACAGTATCTCTGCGCTCTGTGGATAATCTATCTTGGAATATGCTGCTGTATTTCAGAGAGTTTCAACAGAGACCAAATTCAGCATTAATAGGCTTGATTCACTTTCAGCTACAGCAGGAGAAAAGCACTTTAAAGCCACCAGCATTTTAAAGCACAGCTCAACCAAAAAGACTGGTAAACATTTTTTTTTCCCTGAAATGGTTACCCTCTCTTTATTCTAGAAAGACAAAAATAAAAAAATAGCTATTATTCCAATTCTACTTAAAATATCATACCACAAAACTTCA